TTAAAAATTGTTCAGTGTAACAGCTGCTAATTCCAGGACACCGCCCTTGAGACTGCACCCCTGCACAGGCTTCCACCACTTCCAGCTGAGTCCAGTCTCGGCACCGTGCACTGCCTGCTGTCACCAGCCCTATAGCACCAAACAGACAGGTGGCTCCTGCCAGGTGCGTGACCGTGCCTGAGCGCTTCCAGCTCATTGGTGTATTGCCTCATTGTTGTATACAATCTGTTGTGGTCCCAGCAACCCTACCTAGTGCTCAGGGGTTGCCTGGGTAAGTGCTTAATTCACAGGAGCCATTCAGGGACCTAAGTCGGACTACAACAGACCTGTTCTGGTGTTACACCTGCGACACCTACTGGCCAAGAAACAACACTACACCCCCCAAAAAACCGGCAAGAACTGAAACAACAGCAATCAAGATTTCATCTAAGGTAAAAGTATTTGATAATAATTTTACACCTTAAAACTGATTAATAAATAAAAAATTAATAAAATCTTTATGAATTTTGAATATTTCTCAAAACAAAATATTACATCACAAGAATTTAAAAATTTTTGCTTGTATAATGAATGGATTTTTATAAGACATATATGAGCTTCTTGGTATAGTCACCATTGTAGCATTTAGCACAATAATTCACATACCATTGAAGAGCTGGTTTAATAATAATAATAAAGATGAGTCATTATTGGGACTGATACAGGCTTTACAAGGTACCACTGAAGACTTAAGTAAAAAGAGTCTTTCTCTGGAATCTGCTACGTAGTCTTTACAAGGCAGCAATGAAGACTTAAACAGATTCTTTCTCTGGAAACTGCTATCCAGATTTACAAGGTAGTAATAAAGACTTAAATAAAAGGATCCTTTGTTTGGAATCTGCTAACTTACTACAAGAACTTATGTCCATTAATAATAAATGTACAACCAGATTTGATTCTATTAATAATAAATACAAATACATAATGGATAAAACAACAACTCTCCAGAGTAATGTTGCCGCTATTCAGATACTTTATAAGGAAGAAAGATTGTCATTAATTGATAAACTAAGGGCTATGGAATCATGTGTTTCGGAAGAACATAAAAGGCTGCATGATTTCATGAAATCTCTGGAATACCTTACAACAGAGGAGGTTCATTTGCTGCAACTGACCCTAGGTGCTCAGTTGCAAGCTCTGGCAGAAACTCTCAGTAGAGATGACAAAGGAACTAACAGGCAGAAGGGCAAGGCCATATAAGTCATAATATCAACAGATGGCTCTCATACAATGGCTTATCCTGTCATCATTCGTGAGAAGCCAGTAGATGATAGACATCTTGAGTCATATGTAGAATATAAGTTGCAACCTATTCCTATGGGAGATTTAAAAAACATTAAGGAATTGGTGGTCACCTATGGTATACGTTCAACATATGTAAAACAGATGTTAATTACGTGGTCTTCCACAAATACCATCACACCAGATGATTGGAATCAGTTATCTCAACTGTTCTAGAACATAGCCAGCAGTTACAATGGAAAAGCTGGTTGAGAGAGGAAGCTAGAATCCTGGAACAACAAGGTAAGATCAGAGGTTTTGAGATCTCCTAAGATCAAATTCTTGGTGAGGGACGTTTTGCTAATAGAAATGCACAAGCCACTTATGATGAGCATACAATATCACTATGCTGTACAGCAGCTTTAAATGCTTGGGAAAAAATTCCAGAACCAGGAAAACCAGCTGAGCTATACACAAAAGTTTTCTAAGGCCCATAAGAACCATTTACTGATTTTTACAAAGGCTGACCACAGCTATTAAAAAAAAGGCAGACAAAGAACTAAAACAAGTATTAACTGAGTCCATGGCATTTAACAATGCTAATGCAGAATGCAAAAGAACACTTACAGCACCATGGATTCAATATACCAACAGTGTTGAGTCTCTTAACTATGGTAATGAGGCTTGGATAGGAGAAGAAATTTCCAGAGGTGGAAGGAGGCCTCGAGGTACCAAATGTTTTAACTGTGGTATACCAGGTCATGAGTGGAAACTGTACACGGGGTGCTCCTAGAAGCAGTACTTCTAGAAATGAACCTAACGGGACACCCCAACCTTCTGGATTATGCAGAAGATGCGGCAAAGGCTGACATCGGACCAATGAATGCAGATCAACAATAGATATACAAGTCAACCATTTTCCGGCAGGAAACGCCTCAGGGGGCCTCTTGCAGACCCCCAAATTGAACATAGTACAAATATTTCCAGTCACTGCGGACGAAATTTCTCTCCAGGACAACTAAATAACCCAGTGTCTCATGTACAGAACAATACTGCACTAGATGATAGAACAGCTCCAATAGAGGAATCAAAAGTTCCAAAGAACACCACATAATATTTTGGCAGACTTTCATAAATGAACAAAGACCAAAGCTCAGACTTTGAATTAATGGCATTGTTATAGAAGGCCTAGTAGACACAGGTGTGGAAGTGACTATAATTACACCAAAATCATGGCATCCAAATTGGCCTCTTCAAGAGGTAGATGTCCAGTTTCTAAAACGAAGTACAAGATGGGTTGAATGCATAGGGCCAGAAGGACAAAGAGGAAAGCTGAGGCCATATGTTGCAAATGTAGCAGTGAATCTTTGGGGCTGAGATCTGTTACAGCAATGGAATACCCAGATTAAAATTCCTACAATCTCAGAAAGAGAACACAGACCAATGCATGTTTCTAGGAATAATATCATAACATACTATAAAAAACAGCCATCAACCGTATAAACAGAACACAACTGCTGTTCAACTCTCAGAAGTACTCTACCTTTAAAATGGCTAACTGATAAACCTGTCTGGGCTGGACAATGACATTTCTGTTTGGAAGTTTGTCTTCTTGGCACAAAATGGCCCACTGGGCAAAGAACTGTCCTTGCCTTGACTGCTGACAGTACGAATGCTGTCCTTTCTGCATGTACAGGGCATAAGGAAAAGCAATTACTCAACTCTACCAAGACAGGTAGGATGGTCTTTCAAAATTCTTGCTGAAGAAAATGGTCTGTCAGATATTCTAGTCCTGTAGCCAAATTGGTTCCCCAGATGCTGATTATATAGGGGATTACAGTAAAGCAATTGCATGAATCTCAGAAGAGACTTTGGACTTTTAAGTTTGAGGCTGTTATAGGCTATGGGAACTTTTGAAGTTGGACTGAATGCATTTCTGCATTATGGTATGGCTATAAGTCTATGGGGGCCAGAGAGTGAAATGTGGGGGATTGAATAGGAATGGCCTCCACAGACTCATGTGTTTGAATGCTTGGCCCATAGGGAGTGGCATTATTAGATGGGGCCTTTTGGGGGGTAAGTATGTCACTGTAGAAGCAGGCTTTGTATCTTATATATATGCTCAAGCCACACCCAATTTGGCAGACTCCTTCTCCAGCACCATGCTTGCTGCCTTGACTATAATGGACTAAACCCCAATTAAATGTTTTCCTTTTTAAGAGTTGTCATGGTCATGGTGTCTCTTCACAGCAATAAAACCTTAACTAAGACATACCAAAATGAAAAAAATTTTTTCTTTAATAATTTACAAGTTAATTTTTTAAAAATGTGATTTATAGTAGTATTGAGCTTAAACCTATACATATCATTTTCTTGTCTTATTCTTATTCCATAAATCTGTTTTTTAATTCACCTCTTTACTTGCTAAAGTTTCTAGTTCAAAACTTAAGACATATACTTCAGCTTAGGCCTACACATTAACATTAATATCATTCTCTTCCCTTTCCATGTTTGGGCCCCCTGAAAGGCCTTCAAGGGTGACAATATATACAAAGTTGTTTCCAGGACCACCATCTAGAATCCTTCTTAAAGATGTGTTTGAGACTCACAAGGATTTGTCAGACCTTTCAGAAATATGAACAAGTAACAGTGCATGTACTTTAGTCTAACTTTCCTAATTCTACATAGTGAGAAGGCCTATACAAATTACAGTCTATTATTATGAAACCTGGAAGCTGAGTCACAAAATTTTAAATAAGGCATCAATAGATTTTATCATATGAAACTGCATCTGGCACTCAAATACTTTAAAGTATGTGTCAAGTCAAAATTTTCTGTGTTAAAAATAAAATTAGAGGCTATCACTCAGTGAAAGAATTCATTTTTAGAATGTACAAGGCCCAGGGGTCAATTCACAGACCCTAAATACAATCTACAACAACAACAACAACAACAAAATACTCCTCCTCCCTAATCAAGCACCTAAAAAGCTTAAAAGAAAAATGATACAACTGTAAAGACATAAATCAAAATAGTAAAAATAATTCTTCCTACATATAATTCATGGAAAAGCCTTTACTTTAAAATGTATAAGGAAGTAGAAAATTGGAGGGTATGATTTTTATACTGTAGCAGTGTAACTTTCTTATAAATAAATTGAATGATTAAATACTACTAAAGTGTATCTGTAGAGTAATTCTACCCTGAAATAGTATTTAATTGGGAATACATCAGCTGAGCCCCTTTTTTGAACAGACACTAAATATGATCATTAACAAGAATGAGACACAGAAGTACTCTGGAGGAATCTAGTCTTAAAAAAAGAGATAAACCGGGTGGTGGTGGTGGTGGCGCACGCCTTTAATCCCAGCACTCGGGAGGCAGAGGCAGGAGGATCTCTGTGAGTTCGAGGCCAGCCTGGTCTCCAAAGTGAGTTCCAGGAAAGGCGCACAACTACAGAGAAACCCTGTCTCGAAAACCCAAAAAAAAAAAAAAAAAAAAAAAAAAAAAAAGAGATAACTGAAGTATGTACATGTATCCTAGGTATATGAGAGATACATCATCAAGACATTGTGTCACTGGTGACATTTCAACTAGTATCTAAAACACCCATTTTCTGTTGACAATGCTATACAACACCTATTATTTACCTAGCTATATCTTAAAATCTAAAACAACTAATGTTGTGTATTCACAACCATTATGAAATGCCATGGTTAAAAATATACATGAAAACTTACCCCATCTGATAGTGCCCGCCAACACACAGCACTGACAAATTCATTTGTGTCATCTTCTTTCCGGTCTTTGTCCAGAACACTCTTGACTGTATCAAACTTAAAAGTTAACAAAGTCTTAGAAAGTCCTTTATAGTACAAGTAGAGGGAGTTGTTCTCACTTCCTGAAAAGAAATAATAAATGCAATCTTTTTAGAATGGGAGAACCTGGAATTAGAATGAATACATACATACATACATACATACATACATACATATTCATTTGGGGCAGTCTTACATAGCCCAGATTGTTCTTAAACACACAAGTGTCTTCCTCTGCCTCTCAAATGCTGGGGTCATAAGTGTATGATACCACAACCAGCTAGAATACTATCCTTCTATAATCCCTACACTCTGTGCTAGAAATTGAATCTAAGGCCTTTGGCTACAGTGAACTACATCTCTAGCCCCAGTTCCAGAACACAACATTTAGATAGTAATTATTAATCCAAGTTTTAGCAAAGAGACCAATTATCTTTTATATTCAAATTTAAAAGACAAGATCACAAGATCAATTAATTGGGGATTATATGAGAAGGGATTCTTGGACAAAAACTATGGTTTACTAATCTAAAGAAATAACTGTTGCTAAATGATGTAACAGTGCTTATAACTCTAAGGCTGAAATGTTATATATATATATATATATATATAGAACAACCCATAGCAGAGGTCTGTACATTTAAAAAGCTGTTGTAAAACAAGAATCTTAAACTGCATTTAAAAGGATCACAATGTAGAGACGAAAATCAAAGTTGTGGTACTTACAAAGGCCAATCTGAATAGCCTAAAGACCTTACTTCTTCATTCCCCATACAGCATTACCCTATCAGATTAGAGTCAAACTGACACATTTCAGGAGTCTCCTAAGGATAATTGTGCAGCATATCTACTTTGTATGTTAATGCTTATATTTCCTATATACATTAGGAGTTCATACATTAGGAGAAAATAAAACTTACTAGATAAGAGCCATGTCATTTAAAAGTGTTGACAAAAGTTCATTTACTCTTATTAGGACATTTGAATAACGACGGCATGTGTAGAATTACTAGAAAGGCGTTAAAAATCATTGGCGTTACTAAGAATACAGGGCTTGAATGCAGAAAAGAAAATTAATGCTCTACAGCATGACTGGAGGAAAGAATTTACTCCTAAGCATCAAGTGATGCTGCCGAGAACAGATCATTTTTCCGCTGAAAACTACCATGATATGTCTTCGAAAAGTTTCTTTAAAAATATAATTTCACTTACCACAAGCTATATAATCTCCATTGGAAGCAAGTCCTACAAAGTTTTTTTCATTAATATGACCCTTGAAGGAACGCAGGCAGTATGGTTTCCCCACATTCCACAGTTTTAGTTGGCTGTCTGTTGAGCTGAAATAAACACAAAAAGGAGTAAATTTTATATTTCATGGTATGAAACTCATCACCACTAGTAATTAAAGCAGCAATCCAGTTTTGTGGTTAAGAATGCAGACTCTGGTGCCTGTGTGTCTGAGTCTTGTGTTCTCACAGGCTCCAATGTTTCAACAGTTAAATATGATATATGATGATCTACTTTATAGAATTAAATGGACCCAACACTGTGAAAACCAAATTCATTTAACATGCTTTCAATAATGCCTGGGTATATAGGAAATATAAGCATTAACAGCGAAAACAGCACTGCCACACCATCAACAAATGATGAGTCTTTGCACTGAGAGTTGTGTTTCATTTCGGGGAGACCCTCATTCTTCTTGTTACTGGTATACTAGACATAAACTATTTTCATGCTATCCTTACATGTGAGAGATAATGGTTGGAAAGTATACAAAATAGTTTATTTTGCTGAAAGAATATAAAGATCTTATTGCTTACCCAAAACTTTTTTTTAAAATAAAACCCATTGGTAATTCTAATTTTAGAATTACCAATTCTAAATACAATTTCAGAACTGATACTATTTTGCAAACTGCTTTCCTGTACTGAATTGCTTACTTTATACTTTTTGTTAAGGGACCCTGTCAATGCACTTAAATCATCGCTTGAGTTACATTTATACTTATCAAGCAGGACACTATGATACAGTTTTCCATATATTATTTTATTTAAAGAATTAAGAACTTAGTGCTGTTACTAGCCCCATTTTGGAGAAGAGGTGCAGAAGGTTACAACTGTATATAGCCAAGATCCAAACTGTTTGATTTGAGCTCTTTTAGAAATGTGCTTTAATCTGTTCATTCCACAGTATTGCAATGACTGTCCTTTTATGTTTCAGCTTAAAATATATTTCATTTAAGTCATTTACTGCCAATTATAGTTATCCTAAAGATGGAATACTCTTTAGCTACCACTTAATTTAAGCTTGTGAATTCATTACCCACATAACTCCCTTGGAAAGCTCAGTCATGAATATTTTTTGTTATCTTTTGTAACTGAACTGAAATCATCTTCCAAATCACCAAATTCTTATTTAGAGCAACCAGAGTGAAGGTGAAACGCAAAATCCAACACACTGGCATAACAATTTTCTTTTTGTTTTTTTTTTTTTTTTTTGGTTTTTTCGAGACAGGGTTTCTCTGTGTAGCTTTGCGCCTTTCCTGGGACTCACTTGGTAGTCCAGGCTGGCCTCGAACTCACAGAGATCCGCCTGGCTCTGCCTCCCGAGTGCTGGGATTAAAGGCGTGCGCCACCACCGCCCGGCAACAATTTTCTAAGAGAGATAAGGAACTAAGAAAAAAAAAAGAAAAAGAAAAAAGCATAAAGCTTAGGAAGAGACACAGGTGTGTGTGTGTGTGTGTGTGTGTGTGTGTGTGTGTGTGTGTGTGTGTGTGTGTGTGTGTGTGTAGATATTAAGAATGGATATTTATAGGTAATAAGAGAACTACGAGATGGATAACCAAATATGGAATACCCATGTTATTAGAAAAGTTCTGTAGTTTCAGAATGGAGATTACTTTGTATCACTGATACTTTATTACCCTCAAAAAAAGCAACTTAAAAGGTTTTTACAAAGGGCATTTGCTGGGTATAAACAGACTCACTTAAAAAGTTACCTTTAAAATAGATTTTACTGTGAAACTGATGTAGGGTATTATAGAATCACCAAATTATTTAAAACAAAAAATCATTCTACTACTGTGTTGAAAGCAGACTGTAACACGAATCTTAAATGGTCTTACAAATAAAAAAGTCAGGAGCTAGGTACTGGGGTGAATTCTGAAAGATCAGAGAAGCAGAACAAGCTACAGCCAACCTCACCTCGATAACTCCTCATCCGATTCTGTTTCCATAAATCCTCAGACTGAAAGTTTCTGAGTCCTTACCAGAATGGATCTCAGCTGAATTGCTGCTAAAAGCCTAAAAGCTTAAAAGACTCTAGTTCCTGGTCCTCACACCTTATATACCTTTCTGCTTCCTGCCATAACTTCCTGGGAATAAAGGTGTATGTCACCATGCCTGGCTGTTTCCAGTGTGGCCTTGAACTCACAGACATCCAGATGTATCTCTGCTTCCCAAGTGATAGGATTAAAGGTGTGTGTGCCACCATTTTCTGGCCTGTATGTCTATCTAGTGGCTGTTCTGTTCTCTGACCCCAGATAAGTTTATTAGGGTGCACAGTATATTGGAGGACACAATATCACCACAGTAGACATATAAATAATACACAGTGGTTGACTTTAATGAAATAAATTATTTTTCTTTCTATTGCATCAACCATGTTGGTTACCTCCTCAGGAGAAACAGTAACAGAAATGTTAATTAAATTACAAATATCACTTAAGAGGGCCTATCAGAAAGTAATACAGCATTTTATTCACAAGTACATAAAAATGAACAACAAAGATAAGAAACATGTATTTTAATGGAATACATGCAAATCTGTTATTTGAGAAAGAAAATACAATCCTAAGTCATTCTTTGCATATACCTACAACATCAATGATGAGACCTCTGTACAAGCTCACCCTCCAAGGGGAATAATACTCACGCAGAGACAATTTCTTCACCACTAACAAACTTGGCATAAGAGACTGCTTTTCTGTGTCCCTTGAATACCATTATTGGCTGTTTAGTGTTACGAAGATCGTAGTAGTGAACACAGTGATCTAAAATAAAATAAAGAGATAAATGCAGTAAATGAAGAAAAGGGAGACAAAAAAATTGAACTGGATTTGCTATTTTCATCAGAGCAAAGTGGTGGCTGAGTGAGTAACAGTGACCATCTTCATATAGAAACAAAAATGGCAGGTGGGTAACTATATAAAGGGCCCAAACTGGAGGAAGAGGAAACGATTCTCAGCATGAATGTGCCCAATATCAGAGCAAACAAACAAATAAGGAAAACATTAATAGGCTTGAGGAGAGATTTCAGTACAGTAACAGGATTTTAATACAGATTCCTGGACACGTGAATACTACTAAAACTGAATTATGAATAGGAAATTAACAGATCAATAATAAATAACAAAAAAATCAGTAATATAAGGCCTCCTATAAAAGAAAAGTTCAGGTTCATGTCTGAATTCAATCCAACATTTAAAGAATACTAGTTCCAAAAATATTAAAGAAGCAGCAACTCTTCCAAACTAATTCCACGAAGTCAGCATTATTCTCATCAAAATCAGACAAGAGAACAAAGAACCAAAACCTTAGACCAATGTCCCTGATAAGCATGGAGCCATCAAGAAAGTCTAATAGCACATTCAAAACATTATTCACTATCATTAGTCAGCATCACCTAGAGATGGAAGCATGACTCAACATATACAGAGCAATGAAGTTGATACTCTATCAACAGAATGAAGTATTAAAAACCTTGGTTGTTTCAACAAATGCAGACAAAGTATTTGATAAAATTCAATGGGTCTTTATGATAAAACTAGCTAAAGAAGGCAGAAAAGAAACATACTTCAACATAGTAAGTATCACATGTAAGAAACCAACAGTAGGCACTAGTAGGATTAGTAGAAGAGAATACATCTATACACAGAAGGCATTAGAATACTCAAGGAAGCTTTATTCATAGTGTACCCCCATCCCACCAAGACCATGTGGAAGTCACAGTGGCAGGAAATGGAGGGATCTGCTCACATTGCATCTATATGCAAGAAGCAAAGAACAACAATATACATGCTAGTGTGTGCCCGCTCCAGGTATACACACAACACAGGATCTTCTGTCTAGGGAATAGTCCTTGCCATAGTCAAGATGGGTCTTCTCACATCCATTAAGGCAATCTAGGTAATGTTACACAGGCATGTGCAGAGGCTCAGCTCCCAGGTGACTGCCTAATGAATAATACAGGACACTTAAAAGGAATAGGAGCTTAGTGGTATCCTCAGTTGGTGGGGTGCATGCCTATTAACATACAAAACCCAGGTTTAGTTCCTAACACAACACAAACATGGTGTGGTAGCACATGCCTGTGACCTAAGCACTTGGACAATAAAGGCAAGAGACTTAGTGGAAGTTTCAGCTATACAGCAAGTTCAAGACTAGGCTGGGATACTAGGTGCTGTCTAAAAAGACAAATGAAAAAATATGTAACCACAATATGACCTAATAACAAGTTGAGGTAACTAGGTTTTTAAAATTTTTTACTTTATGTACATTGGTGTTTTGCCTGCACGTTTGTCTGTGTGAGGGTGTCAGGACCCCTAGAACTGGAGTTACAGATGGTTATAAGATGCCATGTGAGTGCTGGGAATTGAACCCAAGTTCTCTGGAAGAGCAGTCAGTACTCTTTACTGCTGAACCATCTCTCCAGCCCCCAGGTAACTAGTTCTTAATATCAGCTGATACAGGATCTCTTATTCAATACTCATATGGTAAGCTATATTGTGAACCAGAGTAAATCTGCCCTCATTAAGTTGCTTTTGACAAGATATTTTATCATGACAGGAAAAAAAAATTGAGGCTATTTCTGTATCACCTACCTTCTCCCACCAATTTCTGCCACTTACTGACACCTCAAAATACAGTGGTGTGGATACATGACTTATTCTATATACAGCAGCTATTTGTGTTGTTTCCAATTTGGGCTACAAGGAATAAAGCTTCCTTGAGTGTCTTTTGTATAAAGATATATTCTGTTTGACTGATCTTTGTGCTTGTAATTCTAATATCACAGTGTCTTATTAATTCACTTTATCTCCATAGTAAGACTCAAGGGATTCGGGAAGTGGACCTTCTTTTTTCTCAAAACTGGTTTTTACTACAAAACTTCATCAAATTGTATACCATCAATAAAGAATCCCATTCTTTTCACTGAATTTGTGATAAATATACACAGATCAGTCTGCAGAGAATTAACATCTCTATATATTAAGTATCACTATTCATTAATATAGCATACATTTCCATTATTTAGGGCTTCTTTATTATGATAATAAACCCTTACCAAAACCAGAGTTTGAATGTTGTGAATCCATAGACAAATTTTCTTGGGCTATTTTTAGCTCACTTGTGTCTGATCCAATAAACCTGAACTACAAAAGTAAAATACCCTAGGATGTATTAAGAGACCACTAGATTCCACCAATCCTAAAACTAAATGCCATCAGATAGCATCTGAACCCAATAACAGGTATTTTCCCATTTGTCTGTAATTCTCCTGGCCTGATATTTTCAACAATGTAGCTGAAAAATGCCTTAATTTATGTTTTTTTTCTTTTGTTCTATGTTCATAAAAATGCCACAAAAATGCAATTATATTGAGACCTGGTATTTGGGGCAAACTCAATCTGTGCGCCAGGACCATAACTCTTAACTGGGCTTCAGATACCCAGTTTCTTTTTCCTTTGAGTATTTTTTGTCATTTCATTTACAAAAGTATTTTGGCTAAGTATATAATTCTGGGACTGCATACTTTTCCTAACTTTTAAGTACTGTTTTGTGATGACTCTGATGACTTCTTGGTCTCATGTACTTGTTGATGCTAAGTCAGCTGTTAATTTTTACCTTACTCTGGACATACTTTTGTCACCATCAAAGTGTTTGTTTTCAATAGTAAGCATTGTACCAAATTGTAAATGAATAATGCTAACCACATGGTAAATGATCATTTTTCCTATTTTCTACTATAAGCATATTCAACATTATACTTTATCTTCTAGCTAACTAAACAACACACAAAAAAAGAATTCATGTTTTGTTTTAGTTTGTATAAGATACAATCCTATACAGATACAAATCTCAAGAAATACACAATAAAACTACAACTATGGAAATTAGAAGGGACAAATATAAAATTGATTTATGGAATTTAGTTACATTTCTGTATACTAATAGTACAAGCACCCAAACATAAAAATTATATTCACAAGAGAACTAAAAGAAAAAAAGGACTTATACACTGAAAATTATAAAATATTAAGAAGATAATAATCATGGCAAATAGTTAAAAGAGACACAATAGTAGAGAAATACAGTTTGTGGATAAGATTGCGATATTAGGAATAAAATCAGGTTTCATTGGAAGAATTCTATCTATTATGCTCAAACCACGGTTATTCAAGAAAGGCAATTCCAAATGACAAAATGAATAAGCATAACTCATGATGTCAATAGATTAAACCAAGATCTAGTGAACTGATTCTGAAAGACGCTGAATAAAATACTGGATGTGCATTGAAGCAAACAGCAGTAAAATTAAAGTACTTGATTTCAATAGGCTAGTTCATAAAAACGGATGTTCTAAGTAAGAGAACGACTCAAGCCTACTCAACTATATGAAATGGCCAGGGAACACAGTCACTAGTAAACACAGCACTATCCTTGGTTTGGTACTGAGGTAGAGACTGCAAAGAATCACTGCAAAAGAAGTACAACAACCATTTCTGGCTGACGTAAACTCAAAAACTACAGAAAAGCTACTATAGTTAGAAAGAAAAATAAATATAATGTTTACTGGCAAGGCAAAAGGCAACAGTTTCTGTCCATATTTTTTAAAGTAGCACAATAGAGAACGGAACTACTATTTTACTTAAAATCACAACAAAATTATATATAGAAAAGAAAGCTGACTAGAAAAATCCCAGACCCTACAGGAAACAAACTACAAAATTTCACTTACAAAATCAATCCAAATTAAAATAAATACATTGCATGGAATTATATGGGGAAACATACAATATCAATAATAATGATTCCCAAAACTATTAAGTATTTGTAATTATAATTATTATTTTTATAATATAATAATTTTGCTGCTCTGGAAAAATAGGAACATTAAAGCTTACATGGAAAAGTAAACAAGAAAATTAGGTAAGAAAAACAATGAGAATTTATACCAGAGAAAAATTAAGCATCAATAAGAGAATCTATTGATAAATAACAGCCAATGGTTAAACATAACTTGGGAGACCAGTTAGTCAACTTGCTTAAGATTATATTTCTGACTAATGAAAAAAAGAGTAAATAAACAGGGAAACAAGTAGCACTAGTAATGACAAGGTTTAAAACATGTTTTCTTTTCTTAAATGTTACTGTTCTTATTACATGGTGCCAGCTTATCTTAAAAAAAAAGACAAATATCAAGGAACTTTCACATGTTAGACTATAGGTATTTACTTTTCAAGTATCAAGTATTTAGGAGAAAACAAAAACAAAAAAATTAAGAGTAGGGTAAGCATATGATTTATTCTGCAACTCATGACCCTCGCAAACTGAAAACAGCTACTACTAGTAATGTGATGGTACAAGCGTAAAATAGGACTGCATAATACTTCAAATGATTTGTTGCTATGACTAGAACTGCTATCTTAAAAAAAAAAAGTTTACATCAGCATGCACCCAATGATAAATGAATGGCATGTTCATTCCCCTTAGGTGAGTGCTTTATGCATAGCAAGAACTGAATAAATAAAGTCAGAGGAATTAATAGGCTTCTTAAAAAATTCCCAATCCTCTACAGTACAGCTGTTTAATAAATACTATTCTGTTAGTCTCTAAGAAAAATGCACATAAATATTTAGCAGAAAGCCAACAAATATCAACACACCCATCTCTATATTTAATAATAGATGACAGAATAACACAATTAGGTATAACAATAAGTGAGTAATAACGATAAACCTATCATTAAAACCTAACAAAAAGAAAATTTAAGATTACAAATGTAGTTAATTCATTCTCAAATGTGCCTGTAGGCATGATAATAAAAACTGAAAGAAGATAAATTTACTATTATTTCTTACCTGCACAGCCAAAAGCCAAATGGTATCTGGAAGAGGGACTGAATTTCACACAGCACACGTTAGCCTTTGCCTCAATGCTTGCCACGGAATTGTCTAAATTGGTAGACCACAGCTTCACTAAGGTAGTGAGGATGAAAATAAAAAGAAATAATACACTGAGCAAATGTTTCTGTAACTTGACAAGTGTCACCAATGTATCTTTTGTGTCAATATGAAACATTTTATTGGGACCAAAAAAATTTAAACTGAGTAATCATGTAATAGAACAAGTCTTGAATCAGAGAGCTTACTTTCAATGTTAAAAACCAACAGATATGAGCAGTGATTTCACAAAGATAGGTAACAAGGACCCATAAGACAAAGTACAAAACAAGCATTCTGGAGCTAGATGGTAGGTCCATGAATTAATCTCAATATTTTATAGTAAAGGCAAGAACACACATTTTAATAAAAATCATACATTTTCACATTAATGAGATATGTTAAGATAAAAACATCCCTTAAAAACTCTTCAAAACTCCCAACATAGAAAGGTCTGAGCTGTTTTCAACCTTTGTCAAAGAAGCAGCTTCTTTACATTGTAAAGTAATCCATGGAGAGGTGCATAACTGGTCAGACACTGAGAAAAGAGACTCAGTGCTCTTGGCACTAAGTGGGGCATTTATATTATCCCCCCCCCCACCCCAATATCAACACTGTGACCAAGGCTTAGGGAACACCCTGGAAGAGGAAAGAACATAAGCACCAAAGGATGGGGAGGAGGGCTGTGAAACGCTGGCTTCTGGACAGACATGGCATAGTAGCACAGTCATGTGGTGACCTACACAAAACCTGTGACAGTAAACCAGCCAAAATTCTGGCACAGATGTGATAGATGATTTCTAGGACTCAGCCCATACTGAAGAGCAACAAGGAGTGGATAGTTGCAGGGAGAGGAAGACCCATTCTTTATTGGTACTGGTAGGTCTTCCATGCTCCAATGTGTGGCTTCATACCCATGAACACGCTTGCAACTAGACTTAGTAGGTTATCAAAAAAGCAGGGATGTGGTGGTGCACACCTTTAACCACTGTGCTTGGGAGGTTGAGGCAGGCAGATCTCTGTGAGTTCAAGTCCAGCCTATTTTCATAGTTCCAGGCCAGCTAGGGCAACAGTGAAACTTTTGGCTCAAAATAAATAAATAGGCAAACAAAAACAAAAACACCAACAGATATGAAGTTAGGAGTGGGTGCTGTGGGGCATATGTTGGTAGTTGGAAGGAGAAATGGGAGAGGGGATATATTTCATTATGTACATGTATGAAAAATTTTAAATCAAGAAAAATTAAAGATACTTATAAAGTACTACCTTCCAATAAATAATTTCATGATTATTTAAAAACGTATGTAAATTTTAGTTTTCTGTGATTTAAGTAGACATAAAAAATATGAAAATCCATGGCTTTATTTTAAAGTTTTCTTTACATCTGATATAGTCTATTCTAAGTGGAATACACTAGAATTTATGATTAATTTGGAATCAAACTAGAGTAGATCTGACCTAAAGAAGAAAATTTAGCTGTTATTTTACAAAAGTACCAGAGCAAATGTGATTTTTAAACAATGAAAATATATGAGAATAAACATAATTCACAAAACAGAATTTTAGGGCACAAGCTGCCATCCTAGTTGAACATTAGAATAAATAACAAGCATTAAAAGCAGGGGGAAAGTTTTACTCTCCATCTTTATCCATCTTTGATCTGTTTTAATGTCTGATCCAGGAACAGTTCTCAGACAGAGCCTGGGTAATGATGATTTTGGTTTTATTTTTATTAAACAAAACTCCCCAAGTGATTCTAACATGTATTTGGGGTTGAAAGCATAGAAAACTTTAGGACCTTTAAAGATTACTGACAAAGTTACCTCTCAAAATGAGTAACTAAAAAGGGTCCCAATAAAGAGGACTTCCATGAAGATGGCTTTCATAATTTACATGTGAAATCTCTAGTAAAAACTAATTATTACCAAAATAAGTAAGCTTTAAAAGAGACACTCAGTAGAGTAAGGATTTTAAATACAATAACTGTTTGTGGTCTTCTTCAGTCAGTAGACATAGATTTGTTCAGTTAACATATAAACTCTTTAGTTATTATAAATGTCATTAGTTTCGTCCTTTCCATTTCAGATAATTTGCTATCAGCATGTAAGTACACTACTGATTTCTGTATACTCATTTCATATCTTGGAACTTAAAAAAATTCCTGAATTACAGATCAGAAAACTTGCTCAGTGACTAAGAGTACCTTCTGTTCTTGTAGAGAAGCTGGATTTGAGTCAACAGAAGGCTTTTTTTTTTTTTTTAAAAAAAAATAAGCAAGCCAGGTAGTGGTGGCACAAACCTTTGATCCCAGTACTAGGGAGGCAGAGGCAGGTGAATCTCTGTGAGTTCAAGGCCAGCTTGATCTACAGAGCCAGTTCCAGGACAGCCAGGACTATACAGAGAAACCCTGTCTTGAAAAACCCTCTCCCCAAAGAAAGAAAAAAAAGAAGAAGAAGAAGAAGAAGAAGAAGAAGAAGAAGAAGAAGAAGAAGAAGAAGAAGAAGAAGAAGAAAGGCTATCAATGTAAAGCTATTTCTCAAGAGAACACATACAAATGGGAAATAGTTATAAAAAAAGAAAAAGGCTCAACACTACTAATCAGAGAAATTCAAATAGAAATCACATTTTGTAATTATCTTACTCCAGTAAGAATGATTATAGAAAAGATAGAAGATAACAAATGTTGGCTGGGCTGTGGAGAAAGGGACTACCATGATCCATTAAGCCCAACACTAGGTATATATCCAAAAAAGTAAAATGTGTTTACTGAGACACCTGCACTCATTTGTTTATTTGCAACACTATTTATAATGAGCCAAGATATAGAAATAAACTATTTGTTCAGACACTCTAGTCTGTCCACTTGGTAGAGATGCAGATTAATGCATCTTTCAACCCTTATCAGAGAAGCTTCTATTGGATATAGATGGTGATTAACATGGAGACCCACAACTAGCCAAGGTGCAGAGAACAAGAGCCAAGAGAATGCTCAGTCCTAAATGGACCATTTATACTGCACCCTCTCCTCAGAAGGCTTAAGAAATGGGGGCAGAACGACAGTAAGACCCAGAAATGTGAATGAATACAAGAAAACAGTGTTCTCCAGACACAACCAGGAAGCTGCACTATGAATTCACAGCAGTTATGACCATACACACAAGCCCCATGCAATCCCACTATGAAGAGGGGAGGTGGACATGATGTCCCACACACAGGGTACGAGTTACTGGCAACTGATAGCTGCTGGGAGAGTCAGTCCTCTTAGAGTGTTACCACTGGTAGGTAAACTAAGCTCCAGTGGAAGGTCATATATCCATAAATATAATGTCTTTCCACAAGTTGAGACTTGTGGAAAAAAGAAAAACAGGACACAAAGTTGGGTGAGTAGGAAGTGGAGATATATCTGGAAAAAATAAGAGAAGGTAGTGAATATAACTAAAACTTATATGAAATTCTCAAAAAAACTAATTAAAAATTAAAAAATATCCAAAACAATTAAATCAAACAAAACACATTTATTTACATATGTTCTCCTTAGGTTCTAAAAAAGAATATAAAAATGACTGCTGGGAAAATCATATAGCAATGAAGGAGGACAAAAACACTCATTATGAATTCTATCTAGCTGGCATTAAGAAACAAATCTGTTACGTAATATTAAGTGTTCTTTCTATATGGGTTTTATTTCTTTAATGTTACTAGGTAAAGGAATGGTTTTCCTTTAGTATCTGATTCTTCAGCTCAATTAAAATTAGTAAATGTAAAAAAAAAATTACCCTACAGAACGAAGTTTATTATCTAGTAATCTGTAATATCTGAGCTAATCAATTCCTTAAATTTGTTTTTCAAAATGATATTTAAAAAAACAGAATACACATTGTATTTGTATAATAAAACAGGAAAAAACCTTATGAATAAAATTGACAACGCTGTTTGCCAAAACTATCACAAAACCTAAGATCTCAGAAAAGATATAGGAATTATTTTGAGAATAATCCAGGGATTCTGTGATCACCACTTACAAAACTTGACTAGAACAGGCTCATACTCTTGATTTCTATTTCCCCAGCTGGTTTTCCACTACAGCAAATGTATAGAGCAGACACTTCACCGTCCTGTGAGCTTACAATATACACTATGTGGACCTTCACAGAAAAGAACAATTAAATCAATGACAAAGTATTGTCAAACTAAGAGGAACAGAGATAAGGGTCACTGCTGTGGGATGTTCTATATGTTAAATGTGTTGCTCTGATTGGTTAATAAATAAAACACTGATTGGCCAGTAGTCAGGCAGGAAGTATAGGCGGGACAGGGAGAGAGGAGAACTCTGGGAAGTGGAAGGCTGAGGCAGAGAGATGCTGCCAGCTGCCGCCATGACAAGCAAGATGTAAGGTACCAGTAAGCCATGAGCCACGTGGTCCCATGTAATTCATAGGCATGTTTTGTTTACCTGATTGATACCTGTTTACAGAGCAAAATAAAAAAGTTTACTTTGAAGAACAAAAAGAATCTAGGAAAGATTTTAGAAAAATGAAGCTAGACAAGGGAGTCAGTGAACTATAAAATAAAAAAGAATTGCTCAATCTGAAGAATAAAAATACTGACAAGAAAGAAAATATTGTATAAGGTTCATAAAAGAAAATGGAAAGGTGAAATATTAATGCAAATGGCTATAAAAAAGATTTCAAATTCATGAATATTCAATGGTGTAGTTCCCAGAAGACTACTAAGAGGATTAAAGAATGGTTGTGGTGATGTATTGTGTCCACCAATAAAATTTATCTGAGGATCAGAGGAAAAAGCCAGTCACTATAGTAAACACAGAAGTTAGGCAATGGTAGCACATACCTCTAATCATATCATTCAGGAGGCAGGGATCTGTCTGGATCTCTGTGCGTTCAAAACCACACTGGGAACAAAGCCAAGCATGGTGACACATGCCTTTAATCCTAGCATTAACCCTAGAGGTCTGTAGGTCTGTACAGACAGACAGGAAGTGATACAACTGGGCAGAAAGAGGAAGTGATGTAGCTGGACAGAGAGAGCAAATCAGATGGCAGAACAGCAAGGCATATAGGCGTGGGTATATAAGAAGTAGGTTAGGTCTCTTTGGAGACTGCTATGTTGGTGAGGTGAGGTTAGCTTGTGGCTTTTCCTATTCCTTTGATCTCTAAGGTTTTCACCCCTATATCTGGCTCCAGATTTTTATTTAATAAGACTGTTTAGCAATTTGTCTACAAATGGTACTATGTATTAATAAAGGGGTAATTCACCAACATGTACTAACCTTTCATTGATTTATGACCTTATGATAACAGTTTCAAAATAAATGAAGGCATACACTTCTACTTTAGGTGTCAGGCAGGACTCAATTCAGTTTTTTTTTAAAGGTTTATTTTATTAAATTATGTGCAGGTATATACATGGGCCTAGGTGAATATAAGTACACCAAATGCATGCAGAAACCTGTGGAGACCAGACAGGGGTATCATATCTCCTGGAACTGAAATAACAGATGGTTCTGAATTGTCTTATGGGTGCTGAGAACCAAACATAGCCCTTTGCAAGAGAAGCAAGTACTCTTAATTGTCGAGTCATCTCTAGCCGCTCAACTGTGTTTTAATGCTGTCTCTGAATGTAACTTGTGTTGAGTTTTTGTTTTGAAATAACCAATCAGAGCCATTCAACCCCACATACTCTTGATTTCCCCAGCTTCTGCCCTAACATGTACAGAGATTAACAAGACAACGTGTACCTCAAAATTGCTTTGTAGTCTCTTACAGAAAGAGTCACTGGCATGCTACCCTCCAGGTCAATTACTGCAGGTTCTATTGGCATATATGGGTCTTCAAAAAGAGATTATTTGACACAATGAAAACTGAAGTTAGTACCAATTTTTAATGCAAGCAATTCATTGACTTATTACTAAGAAGTAGAAAGAAAAAAAAATCATTTAACAATTGTAGTTACTTTTTTAAATAAATAAATGGGACACACTTCTATTTTCACCTATCTAATTTTTTGCTCAGATTTATTTTTAAATTGTGTGTGTGTGTGTGTGTGTGTGTGTGTGTGTGTGTGTGTGTGTGTGTCTGTGTCTGTGTGTACACATGCAAATAAAGGTGCCCTGGGAGGCCAGAGTCCTTGGAGTCCCTGGAACTGAACACGGAACTATCCACTTAATCACTGAGCCATCTCCAGAAACCTTGTCTCTGTCATTTCAAAGATTTATTTTTATATCTACCTTCACATGAATAAAAAGCCTGTGATTTGCAGGGAAAAAAATGAAAGGAAAATTACATAGAACATAGAAATAAATTAGACTTGATGTTTCTATCTCATATCCCACAAAATAAGGAGACTAAGAAGAAAAGAAAAATCAGTAGGATATGAAAACCAGAACAATACTACCAAGTGTTCTCTAAATGACACATACTGAACTCTCTATGGGAGCCAGAGTAGAGATTCTTCTCAATGCCTATGAAATAATTATCAAGGTAGTTCATAAATCAGACCACAAAGTCAATTAAAACAAATTTAAAGGGATTAAAATTATATAAAATGTTTTGTACCCATATTGTTTATAAGTCAGCAGATTTCTGAAAATTTTAAGTCTGAAAATTTTAAAACACATTTTATAATGGTCCATAGCTAAACAAGGTATTAAAAAAAAAAACAACCACAGAATTAGAAGTTGAAACTAAAAACAAATGTTAATAAATGAAATTCTAGGATTAGCTACTACAGCAGTGCTTAGAAGAAAATGTATGAAGAAAACAAGGATTAGTCAGAGACATGAACTAAAATAGGATGAAAATAATTACATAGCAATACAGAAATATTAATGAATAAAAATCAATGAAGTCTGAACAGCTTCCCTATGGACACCCAATGAAGTGTTTTACAGATATAAAATAAAATGAATATAGACTGTCCATGGACCACAAACAGGCCAAATGATTTTGAAAAGAATCAAAGACAGCAGATTCATATTCTTGATTTCAAAATAATGCTTCAATTATTAAAACAATGTGGTACTGGAATAAAGATATACATAAAAACTAATGGCATACAATAAAAAGACAAGGGCTAAACCCATGAATGTAGAGTGCAACTATTTTCGTTAAGAGTTCCAAGACTATTCAATGGGGAAAGAATAATGTTTTCAGTAAGAGACATTAGAAATTCAGGCCATTTGTGTGTAAAAACAAAGCTGTCCCTTTAAACCATACACAAATTAAAACAGATCAAAGACATAAAATGTTAGACTTACTGCAAAACTCATGGAAGAAAATATAGGATAAAAGTCTCATAACAATGAATCTGGCAGTAATTTCTCAAATATGCTCAAGGCATATACAACAAAAGTAAAAATTAAACAAACTGGACTTTGTAACAATAATAACAAAAAAAAGAGTAGAAAATTCTATCAACAGTGTAAAAAGGCAACAAAAGGTGGAATACAAACCACACACATGGTTAAAACCCAGAATGTAAAGATAACTCTCATTTCAAGCATAAACACAAAGAAAACTGAGAATTTTGACTTTAAAGGGGAAGGGGTTGGACATATACTTCAACAAAGCTCAATAGTTAACACACACACACACGAGATGTTCAATATCACTGAACAGTAGAGAAACTAAAATCAAAACTATAGTGAATTACCCCCTTATAGCCACTTTTACATTTTAATTATCTATATATTTTAAAACAAAACAAAAACAGAAGGCAGAAAGGTATGAGGGCAGGCAGGTGAGCAACGAAGGAAGTGAGTGAATGAAAGAAGGTCAAGATGAAAAGAAAAAGGAGTGTTGGGAATAAAGGAAAAGAGAGAGAGGGATGCAGTCAGTTTGGCAGGTAGTCAAGTGAATCAAGAGTAAAAGGCAAAGGAAATACAAGTGTTGACGAGGATGTGGAGAAATCAGAACACTTAGGTACTATAGCCATTATATATTGGATCTTAAATGGTATAGATACCATGAAAAGTATGGTGATAGTTCCATAAAAAAGTTAACCACAGATTATCATATGCTAGAGCAATTTCACTTCTGAAAACAACTAAAAGAAACTAAACGAATATATATATATATATATATATATATATATATATATATATATATATTTGTACATATACTCATGTAGATAGTAATATTGTCCACAACAGTCAAAAAGGGTCTTTATATATAAAGGGGGGGAGCAAAATATGTGAAATAAAGGCCCAATGCTGGGGCTACTATTATTTAGCCATTAATCTGGAAGCTACACAAAGAAAGGAATGAAAAAAATAGAAGGAAATTAAAGTTACTCTCTTTAAAAGTAATTTTATAAAGATTTATATTATTTTCTTAGTGTGTCTGTATGTATACACGTGTATAAAGAAGCCTGTGGAAGCTTGAAGAAGGAATCAGATGCTCTGGAATGGGACACAAGAGAGACTTGCTGGGCTAACTTACAAGCCCACAGAGGGACTCCAGACGAGGTTTCCACTTCTCCAAATGAGAGGTTGTACCACAGACATACATAGATCATTCAATTATATCATAAAAACGATTTAGGATGCATACGGAATGTCAAAATATATTCTTTTGCTTATTTAGTTACACAGACATTAAAATAATGTAGCAAGCCGGGCGGTGGTGGTGCATGCCTTTAACCCCAGCACTCGGGAGGCAGAGCCAGGAGGATCTCTGTGAGTTCAAGGCCAGCCTGTTCTACTGAGTGAGATCCAGGACAGGCACCAGAACTATACAGAGAAATCCTGTCTCAAAAATCCAAAAAAAAAACAACAAAAAAAAAGGTAGCATAAAATAGCATAACTCAGAAACCAGAATGTAGTATTTTCTAACCTGTTTCATAAATAATTCTGTTAAAAGAATAAATATTCATCATCATCTTTTCAATACAGCCACTGTTGAATCAGTTAGAAATTTCCATAGTAACTAATTTGTATTTCCACCTAAAATTGTTTGGGACATGGTCCCCTTTAAATCTGTGTATAAAGCTGGGTTTACTGGCATTTATTATCACGCGTCACAAAAACACATTTAAAAAGCATTAGTGTACTTGATTTGAGGAAGTAAGCTAATCTGTTCACAACATCTCTACTAAAACAGGATAGGAAGAATAGCAGAAAATAACAAATAGTAAAGACAAACAAAGAAGAAAAGCAAAAAAGGCCAATTAAGCTAGCAAAAAGAGATACATACAAACTTGCCTTGGAAATATTACACCATGAGGCTTTAGAATATATTGAACATTTAATATAATTTAATTTCAAATGTAGAAATTTCTAAATGCTTCAGAAAATAAAGTTTACTAGATAGTATATCTAAATAAAGAACAGTAGGGGCTGGACACATGACTCAGTGTTAGCAGCGCTTGCTATATAATCATGAGGAGTGGAGTTCTGACCCAAGTACCCAGGGTACCACTAATGCCTGTAACTCCAATGGAGGGACCTAACATCCTCTTCTGGCTTTTGTATACATATATGCATATAAACAGGCATATAGACAGACAGACAGACAGATACACACACACATACACAGAGAGAGAGAGAGAGAGAGACAGAGAGATACAGAGAGAGAGAGAGATACAGAGAGAGAGAGAGACTGAGAGACACAAACACATACATAAGGAAAATAAGTATATATAAGAAGTTGCCAGCAATTAAGATGGCACTGTATGGCACAAATACAAAAACAGTATTGTGAAGATGCAGTGCATTCATTTTTCCTCACTCAGAAGGAAAAACTGATTTCTTGCTCAAATTATTTTTGATTCACAAAGTACTCAAATTATTTTTGATTCATAAGTTTCATTAAATAACTTACATAGCTGTGTCTAAAGGGAGTTCTGGGGAATGAGAACTTCTCAGGGAAAATAGGAATAGTACCTTTTGCATCATCAGAACCTGAAGCCAAAAGTTTAGGATCCATCAGATTAAAGTCAACACTCCAACACCTCTTTTCATGCTCCTTGATACAGAAAAAAGAAAAAAAATAATTTATTGATATGAGGTGGTGGCACAGACTACAGTTAAATGAAAAGCAAAGACACTGGTGGAAAGTCTCATACTTACTAAAATTAATGCTATGTAAATGTTGTAGAATATTATTTTAAGGTGTGATACTTTTGTTTATGTTGCATTTAACCCTGTGAAGTTGTGTTACTTTGCCTGTCTTAAACACCTGATGCTCTAATAAAGAACTGAACAGCCAATAGCAAGGCAGGAGGAAGGATAGGCAGAACTGGTAAACAGAGAGAATAAATAGAAGGAGAAATCTGGGAAAAAAAGATATAGCCAGAGGAGGAGGAGGACATCACAGGCCAGCTACACAGCAAGCCAGAGTGAAGTTATACAGAATCAAGAAAAGGCAAAGCCCAGAGGCAAAATATAGATGAAATAATTTAAGAAAAGCTGGCTAGAAACAAGCCAAGCTAAGACTGGACATTTATAATGAAGAATAAGCCTCCATGTGTGATTTATTTGGGAGCTGAGTGGTGGGCCCCCAAAGGAACAAAAACAACCAATGTATTTGATACATTCTAAAAATAAAGTACAAGAAATGTCTTAGAAAAGCATTTGGTACTAAATAATAATTGAAAAATTCTAATTATAAAGCACATAAGTATCTCAAACTGTTACAAAAACCAAAGAAAATAACTTTTAACATATAGTCAGTTTCCATATTTACCTGATAGACCTTTGACCTCTGTCCTGTGAATCCATCCCATAGTATGACAGTGCCTTCATAATCACTGCTGGCTAGCAGATTCTTATGGTAACTACTCCAACTGATACAGCTGAATGAAGGAGAAAGCTAAAACTTTAGGATGTAAATAAGTCCAATGGAGCATAATGAATTCCAGTGTGTTTGGGAAGATGAACACTCTTCAAAATGGTTTATATCACTTCACAATCATTCAGAAAGATGCTAGTAATACTTAGATTTTCTAATTGACAGTAAACTATCTAATGCTGAAGTTTTACTACTTTTTACTCTGATCACAAAGTATAATATGATAGATACAAGCCAAGAGCTGCGACTAATCATCTCTGCTACATTTGAAAAGCATAACTATTAATGACAATAATAAATGCCCAGGTGGCTCAGGGAATGTTACAGCAGAATGACAGATATGAAAGATTGTTGAGCCCTATATTCAGGTTTGCCAAATCATATTAAGCTAAATAAATGAGTTTGAATTGGATTTGTGTTTACATTCAAAAGGTCTTAACCAATATAATTTATGATTGAAATTCTAATTAAAATCACCCAGTAGATTCAAAGTTGTAACATTTATGATTTTAGCTATTCTCTGAAAGTCTGCATCTAAAGCAGTAAGTTATTGTTGAGACATATACACGTTTAAATTGGGCAATAAAATGTGTATATTATTGAACAAGGTACTAAGACAAGCAGGTAACATTCTTCAAGAATGTATTTTGCTCTCTATTGTACTCATGGCAAATTTTAGGGGTTGGGAGATCATTTGCATTTTAAAATATATTGTTTTCTGTTACAGATTCAGACAGACCTGACTCCAATTCCAGATCTGCCACTTAATAGCTGCAGTTAGTATATTTCATTAACTGGTGAAACAAATTGGACAACTTAGTTTTGCTTAGATTTTGGCCTTGAGCAATTTTGGCTATTTTCTGTAATGTGCCATAAAGTACTATACATTTGCATATGTGCCATGACAGAGCAGGCAGGAGCACACTTAAACTCTAAGTATGTTTTCCTCAAGGGATCAATGCCAATGAATACTTGTCATGAGCCAAGTATTCTGCTGAGTTTATTACTGTGATGTTTTAAAGTACAATTTTATACAAGTGATATTACTATAACGGCCCTATGCTATAAATAATTATAAAGGGGGTACAAGTACAGGCTCTAGAAGTAATACTCCCTCGATCTGCACCTCTCTACATATTAGCCAGGTCATATCAGGCAAGCTATTTACTTTTAGTATTAGTACCCTTCAGCTAATACTGGTAACCATCTCAGGCAACTGGTAAGGCACTCAAGACAATGCCTAACACATAAGCATTTAATAAATTCATTTTTGCAACATAGTCTCGACTTAGAAGACAGACTATAATAGATGTTCAAGTATGGGTGCCACTGATAAATGAGTGGTCTCACAAACTGTTGTGGATGAATTTAGAAACAAAAAGAACATAATACTTGTTTATTATTAACATCATTAAAATGCACAAATAAACACATTTACCTTGGATTCAACATCTTTAATCTAAAATGTCCCAGAATCCAAAACATTCAGAGCACCAAATCTGTTGGCTAAATATACACAAACCCTGTTTCATACCAACATGTGTGAAGACACTTCCAGGGTAGGTGAAATCTGTGCTTAGGTTCACATCTTCAGATAAAGGATACTTAAAACTGTGTGCATGTATTTATCAAGTAAGAAAGGTACATGAATGACTGATTTCTTTTTGAGCTTACACTAGTAATCAGGTACTCATGAGAACAGCTGGGATGTCTATTTCTTCTATAAAGGGAAGAGAGAAGAAAAAAGGAAAGGCCAAGAAAATAAAGGAAAGCTGATTCTGGAATTCCTGACATTCCTAGGAAACAGTTCAGCACTGCTATGAATTATAACTCTTATTGAATTAAATTTAAATAGTGTTCTTTAAAAGAAAAGCAAAGTATTTGTATGGAAAAAAGTCATAAAACTAGAAACTGTAATATTTAGAGACGTATATATTATGGGGATTATTTCTGATGTTCAGATAGTATTCATAGGCAAAAGTAAATGATAATTTCCACAAAAAGAAAGCAAACAACATCTACAGGAAAGATAGTGTTTTCCTTTAAAACAAAGCATCGCTATATAGACAATCGTAGCATGCACTCTGAATGAATAAGCAGTCTCATAGAAAAAGTAAAATAATTTCATACTTATCACTAAAATGGACAGCAGCTATATACATATGACTTTGTGGCAACAAAAAAATACCTGATTTTGGAATTGCAGGTCATTTCATTCTCAGGGTAATGAATATCCACTGCATCCTGGATGACTGTGCCATATTCATAGACTTTAATCTTCTTTGTAACCCCAGCAATTGCGAAATAGTCACAATCCCGGTCAAATTCGATACTAAAGGGCAGAAGGGGAAAACATATCTCATCTGTGAGATCACGTAGCCAACCTTGTGATGCTATATATAGCAACATTTCAGAATTTTCAGGCTTTTTTTTTTTTCATCTTTCTTTTTATTCTCCCAGTGCTGGGGCTTGAACTCAGGGCATAAATGCATACTAGGCAAGGCATATATGCATACTAGGCAAGCACAATGCCACTGAGCTATGTCCTAAGCCTGCATTTTCTATTTCTAAAGGGAGTCTATCTATCTCCACAGATAAAACAGTTTCTTGAAATAGTTCCAAGTTTCACTAGGCCACATGTCCAGAATAAGTCATCAAGACATCAAAATACAAAAGATAGGGAACTGTCTAGTTATCTAACTGTCAAGCTGAACTTTTGTTCCTAGGCATATTTTCCAGTTTACCATTAATAACCATATTACATCTTAGTATGGAAACTTTTAACGGTTTGAAATATTACTAGTGTCAAAAGAAAATTACCAATTAATTTTTTTCATAAATTCATGTTATTACTCTTTCAGGGCATGGGATATTATTTTAATAAATAAATCTGTACAAGCAGAATTACTGAAGCAATTGGGTGGTGACAAGGGGACAGAATATTAATAAAAACAGAGTAACTAAATTATCATTATTTCCCCCCAAGTCCATTCCTTATTCCCCAAACAAATACTATCTCAGTGAACTACAAAATGTCAATGCACACTCCTTATTACACAAACAGGGAACACTCTTTAAAAAGAAAAAAAATCAAAGCCGGGCGGTGGTGGCGCACGCCTTTAATCCCAGCACTCGGGAGGCAGAGCCAGGTGGATCTCTGTGAGTTCGAGGCCAGCCTGGGCTACCAAGTGAGTTCCAGGAGAGGCGCAAAGCTACACAGAGAAACCCTGTCTCGAAAAACAAAACAAAACAAAACAAAAAATCAATTCGTTCCTTTTAGAGGACTTAGGGAATCCATACTTCTCTTGTAACTTCTTCTAAATACAAATTCCAAAATAAGCAACTTCAATGCAAATACAAGATCTTATTCACCCCTATCATACAAGCTAGAAATCTTATTTGTCCTGATACAGTTAAAAATTGAGATGAACCACCAACTTCAATACTTCTCAATATGAATTAAGTGTCCTTCCCAGGTTTAGCTGTAATTCCAGAGAATACAGCAGAATTCTCACTGATCTATGATTACTAATTCTCCTAACAACCAAATGAGGAAGATACTACTATTATCAACATTTTAGAATACTGAGGGTTAGAGTGAAGTAACATGCTCAAAGTTAGCTGGCTTTTAAGATGTTTGAGATGATAGTTATCAGGTAATCTAGCTTCAGAGTTGAGGATACTAATATTTAAGGCGAAATCACAAACAAACCTCTTATATACAAGTCAAACTATAAAGTATAAAGGTTCAAGACTCAAACTCTAATAAATTTGTTATGTGTTTTTCATACCTATGTATCTCTTACCACCAATAAGTATCATGATGAATATACTAGATACTCATTAAATGCATATAAATACAACTGCATTATATATGTGTAAAAATACAAATACTTATATTGTGTGTGGGGTATTTAGGGTGCTACTAGATGATACACTTTAATGGGTTACCTGTGCAATATTCATACAGAATTAACTTAGTTACTACTTAGATAATAATTTAACAAGAAGCTTACTGAGCTGATGATTAAGAAAGAAATATACATTAAATTTTTCTTAAAAACACATTGAAATACTTTTCTAAATTATAGTTTCAAATCATTCCTTAATTTCTAAGTTTTACAAAAAACTTTCAGTTAAGTGTCAGCAACTATAGCACAATTTAGCTAATAACCCTCCCAAAATACACTTACATACCAATGAAACAGATTTATTGATTAATTGAGCTTCTGTTTCAGCTACCATTTCCTGAGTTATGAATTCTAACACCAAAATTATATTGATGATAACTTTTAATCTATCCCAACACACACACACACACACACACACACACACACACACACACACCCCACTTAGGAAATGGTACTTGTGCTGGTTAGTTTTATGTCAACTTAACTCAGGCTATAGTTATTTTGAAAAGACCCATCTCAATTGAGAGAAGGGCCCCACAATACTGGCCTGTAGGCAAGCCTGAAGTACATTTTTTCAATTACTGATCGATGTGGGTAGTTCCACCCTGGGCTGTTGGTCCTGGGTGCACTAAGAATGCAGGCTGAGGATGCCATAGAGAGCAAGCTGGCAAACAGCATTTGTTCATGGCCTCAGTGTCAACTCCTGCCTTCTGGATGCCGCCCTGTTTAAAGGTCCTGCCTTGATTTCCCTTAGTGATAGACTGTGCTGTGGAAGATAAATGGAAATTAACCCTTTCCTCCCCAAGGTGCTTTTAGTCATGTGATTTTTATCATAACAACAGAAACCATGACTAAGATAGACTGGCAAATCACAACTATTGGAACAGAAATCTACTCTTAGCTGAGGTAATTTAGAATGCATAATTCAAGTAAGAATCGACTACATAATTCTGAAATACATTCCTTCCATCTATAAACATATACTACTTAAAAAAATCAAAAGTACTCTAATGTACAAGTGAAAATATGTAATTAAGAAAAGGCAAACTACTGGTTTTTAATTAAAAAACTTTAAGCACTAACCTGTTATTAATTTGAAAACACTGAATGGAAAATTAACTAAAACACCTAAACAATGACCTATATAGTCTTTGTTGACACTTGGTTTCAGACATCCTTTTCCATTAGCAGCAGGTGTCATTATTTATCTTACTTTTAACTTGACTGTTGAAAAAGAAAATCAACTTTTTGTTTTGGTCTCATTGCTGTTTTCTTCCATTTTGATTACTTAATAAATATTTTGGGGAGTAAGACATGATGATTCATGTCTATCTATAATCCTAGTGCTCAGAGGCTGAGGCAGGAGCATTCTAAGTTTGAGACTATCCTAGGAGACATAGTCAGACTCTTTCACAAAAAGCAAACCGAAACCTAATCAAATCAACCCAAAAACAATTATGCTGGGAATATCAAAACCCTAACATTATACTAAAAAAAAAAAAAAGCATGATCTGAAAACTGCAGTGTGTCTCTGAACATTAGTTTTTAGGTGCTGAGAGTTTTCCAGAACTCATCTAAAACAAATGAATATAGCCTCTTATTCCATAGGATGGCATTCCAGCTATTTTGATTATGTCAGATAAAACAAAAGTTTAGCAGTGCCTAATTAGGATGAAATAAAATAGGTATAAAAACTAACTGAAATGTAGCTGTTTAATTAATTCCCAAAAGAGTAATAAGTCTTGCTATTTATTGTTAAATGTTCATTTCTGCCATCTACTGTCATCTACAATTATTAAAACTACCGATAAAAATTTATTACAATGAAAAATTCCATTTCATCAATCAGGAGTGTCCTATACCAAGTAAGAAAATCTACCACCACCACCATTATACATTCACTTAAGGCATCCGGTGTAGCAGGAATCTTAAAGAGTCTTATTAATAAAATCAAACCCGGAGCCAAGTATTGGGGTGAAATGCTGGAAGATCAGAGAGACAGAACAAGCCACAGCTAACCTCATCTGGCCAACTTCTCAGCTGGTCTTTTTACCTCAGACAGGAAGCTTCTGTGTCCTCATCCCAATGGCTCTCAGCTGAACTGCTACTCGAAAGCCTGAACACTTAACCAGCCAAATGCTTAACCAGCCAAATGCTTCTAGTTTCTGGTCCTCACGCCTTATATACCTTTCTGCTTTCTACCACCACTCCCCGGGATTAAAGGCTTGCTTTCTGGCATTCAAGGCATGATGAGTCACCATGCCTGTCTGTATCCTTGAACACATGGATTTCTGCCTCTGGAATGCTAGGATTAAAGGCGTGTGCTACCACTGCCTATCCTTTGTGTTTAATATTGTGGCTGCTCTGTCTCTGACCCCAGATAAGTTTATTAGCATGCACAATATTTGGGGGAATACAATACCACAATCCAGGAACCCTCTGCTCCATGAACTTAGCCAAATGGCTTCTTATACCAGATGAGGCCAGCCTACACTGCCTGTGAGGCCATACTACAGAGCCTGGGAACCTCCAGTATCCATCTTCCTCTGCTAAGGTAGGCCTAACACTTCTCAGGAACCTCATGCACCAGGTGACCAGCCTGCCCATGAGATTTCTTGCAACTTTCTTCCTCAGCTAAGGTTTATATAGATTATAAGTGCACCAGGCTCCAGCTTCCTTTTCGCCAGGCCCATCTACAGCTCCCAGGAATGTTGATACAAGAAGTTAACCCACAGGGCCTCCTACTTTACTTCTCTTGCTTGAGACCCAACTCTCCACTATAAAACTTCCCTGAACCAGGCACCCAGAGGAAGACTGTTATCTCCATCATACTATGACTCAGTCCTCTCCTGAACACTGTAAATGTTGCAACGAGGCAACTTGAATCAAGACAAACAAACTGAACCAACAAAGTCAGATGTGCAAGTCTCAAAAAAGACACAAAGTGAAAAACCCAGACATATCCCAAAATTCTAATTCCATAATAATGGTGCCTACTGAAATTGTCTTAGAAGTTCTATACAAAGAATTGCAAGAGCACAAGCATCTTCAAACAAAGAAGACATGAATATAGTTCAAGAGAACAAAAACAATGAGAAGTCAATATAAGACATGAAACTCCAAAATGAAATGATTCTCAGAATGAAAAACCCAATAAGCCAAGTGAAAAACCTCACTAACAAAATGATCATACAACACAGAAATAAGGTTTAGAAAACAAGGTAAAGGAATTGGATCAATTAGTAAAGGTCAATGATAAATTTTAAAAAATGAATAAAATGATAAGACAGTAACAAGACACCATGAAAAGACCTAACTTTTGAATTATGGACATAGGAGAACAATAATATAGTAAAAGCATAGAGAATATTTTCAATAAAGTATAGAAAATTTCTCAAACTCAGAGAAAGAGATGCCCATC